TTCTGCAAGGTGAACTCTAGAGGAAGTGAGGTGAATATAAACCATGGAAAATTTGGCATGCATCTATAAAGAACCCTATCTTGGCATGATTGCTATTTATTTTGGCAGTAGGCTTTTATACTTTCTAAAAACAGATTATCCTGTATGTCTTCTCAGTTTGTCTCTATTCATTTTAATCTCAAAGTTTAGACCATAAAAAGGGGGAGTGTAGCCAAAATCCATTTCTTTCTCGTTAAATATCATGAGCTGGAAAGGACTTAAATAATGTTTCTCTGATCAGTGGTCACACTCCCCACTCTCCAATTATATCATGAAAATAACATGTTTGAATACCTCATTTTTTATAGAGGAACCAGTCTGTCATTGAGTTCTATACAATTTTAATCAGAACAACTTCCTGAAAATAAAAACAAAATCCAACAACATTTTTCCTAACATGATCAACTTCTGTATTTAGACAAAGCTATCAACGAGTGAGCTAGTTGAAATTCACTGCAGACAAAACTGTTATCATCTTGGCTCCTGAAATAAATGGCTCTTTGGCTATTCTGTCCCTTTTCAATACTGGATAAGAGCTTCTAGAGGAAGGCAATGCTTGTATGTTCAGAGATCTTACTCTCTAAAGAAAACTGCAGCAAAGAGTATATACCTTTGAGCTAACATTCTTCTCAGCAGTACAACAAAGCAAGCCTCACGTCCCATCTTAAATCCTCTCGCTTGTGATCCAAACCATAGCATTTGCATAGTTTGGCCATTCAAATTTTTAACAGGGAAAGTAAATTGGCAAACCCAGTAAATTGGACTTTTCTTTTGATTTCAGCATTTAGTAACAGCAGGTTCTGCCTGTACCTAGATGCAAAGTGGTTATTTAAAGCCAGCCCTTGAAAGGAATGCCATGGGAATGGGATTCCACTGGGGCTTAATGGTTTTAAATGAGCACTCCTCTCCCACAACTGTGCCACTCGGTCCCGCACTTTTTCCGTAGCATTACGTTTGCGCTGCGCTGGATTAATAAAGTCAAAACAAAGCACCGTATCATGTGTTTAGAGATACTGTGTTGCATATGTTAATACCTTGCTTCTGTATACTGACCTCAGGCATTGGCTAGGATGGCATCTGCAAACTAACTTTTCGAAACATGAGCTGCACACAAATTGCCATGACAAGGGGAATAATCTTGCTCTATGTTTGTTTTCCAGCTAAGAAGCTCTTTCAAACAGGCCTTTGGAAAGAAGAAGTCCACCAAGCCTCCTTCCTCACATTCGGACATAGAAGAGCTGACCGACTCCTCTCTTCCTTCATCACCCAAATTGCCCCACAGCTCAGGAGAGTGTGGGGCAACGTCAATGAAACCATCACAGTCAGCATCTGCGTAAGTCTCTCTCTTGGCACACTTTTTCTTCCCAAATGGGATGGACTGTGGAACAGACCTCCTCAAGTGTGGCCATTTGGAGTTCAGAAACCGTTGCCAACAGCTGCGATCTTTTAATCTTGTGCTCCATCCCTTTGTCAGATTTCTCATGAGTTTCACTCCATTTACACACTACTTTTCCAACAGCTCTTTCTTAGGTCATTCTCTCCTGCTTTCACAGCTTCTGCCCAAAATCATCTAGCTTTTGAAACTTCTTTCCAAAGGCATTTCCGAAAGCTTATGCTGTGCTCTCCCTGCACCATTAACAACTTTATCATTTCCGCTTAGTAAAGGCCCAATACTACAGTTTCCTTTCTTTATGACATACTAAAAACATCATTTTATTTTCCAGGTAGCTATGAATTTTTACAAGATACTCATCCCTTCTGTTATTATCTTATCTACTTTGTAGTTACTGATTTATATAATTTTTAATCCGTTTCTCCTTTTTTATCAGCTTGCACTTTTTTGCAGGATTTTATTTTTATTTTTTATTCAAATCCTTAAGGTTTCAGGACTGAGAACAAGTCATCAGTCAAAAACTGTCCCATTTTTTGGATGTTCAATATATTTTTCTTACAGAGTTCTCAGCTCCCATTCATATTCTTCTACCTCATTTATTTTTCATTCTTCTAAACTCCTATCTTCTTCCAATTTGGGGAAATCAACCTCTTTGAACCAACAAATCATATTACTGATGCCATCCTTACTTTCCTTGTCCTACTTGAGAATAATCAGGTTGCAACTCCTCGTCCTTAAAGCACCCGGGGAATTCTAGTCTTGTGACCGATTGCTGAGCTTTAGAATAGAATTTCCCTGTGTTAGATTAGGTGTCTTTTATGATTAACTTTTTATAGACTCTAGTGATATTTATATACTAGGTTTAGGAGTTTGACAGCAAATATTCCCATTCTTTTGAGGGGGAATACAATAAATGTTTTTCTTTCCTCACATTCAGTACAGCCTAGTGAGGAATAACTCATCTAGATGTCTAATTTTCTTAGGTTGTTTTAGAGAAGCTCACATTTTTATGGTTTTCAATGTGTGTTTGGGAGGAGGATTTCTACATGTTTGGGACCCTTGAGTGCCCCTTGATTTGTTATCAACTTAAAAATCACTGATAAGCCTTAAAGTGCCTGAATTTAAACAAAACACTCTCGTAACCTTATCCTGTTTCTTTTCCATCAACACTGCTTTTTTCTCTGTCTCTTTGACTTGCTCTCTAGATGTACTGCTATTCCCAGAATTTATCAAGGGCAAAACTACATATCTAGTCTTCCATGCCAAGCTCTTCCCATGCCTATTTGACCTCCGAGCCTTAACTTCCTAAATTCTGTCCAGTTCACGGTTCTTCCTCTGTGACATTTTTAACAACAGATCTTTCTGATCATACTATTGTACTATACTGTTGTTTTGTAATACTGTTGTACTGTACTGTACTATTGCTGTGACCTTTCTACATTGGATAACATAGATTCCTTCCCTTCCACAGGAGATCATGTGAAATATATTTATTTAGATTAATTCTCTTTGTCTGTTATACTGATAATGTTACTTTCTTTGGAAGACTCTGTTTTCCATTGCATAATTTAAACTCCTGTCACCTTTAATACTTTTCATATTGTCAGCAACCTCTGTTCAAAGATCATGACTTACTCCTTCCACCCAAAGCAACCTATTGATTTAAAAATCCTGAGATTGTAACAAGAAAGAAAAAGTAAAACTCTTTCTTCCTAGCTACTTTGAACCTTTGTCTGAAGTTTGATCAGGCTTCTGAGGTTTTTCTGTGACTGCTCAGGACACTAACTTATCTTTTTTGTTTTTCTTCCTTTTGATGAAGTCTCATCTTATGCAAATTTACAGCTTAAGGAGCTGAGCTGGAATCTGCAAAAGAAAATTCAGTTCATACTTTCTGCTTCCATTCTGCTGATCTTACCAGTCTAGACAGCTTTCTCCTGCTTCTTCCAGAACCATACCCCTGCTTTCCGCTTCATTTTTATCTTCTTTAAAGATGGCTTAAAAAGGTCTTTTTGTCCATCGCTTCTCAAGATGTACTGCAAAAATGCAAAAAAGAAAATAGCCAACAAATAGATACATGACTTCCCAGTTGTCCGAGTTATTGTATGAGATAATATATGCATGTATATAAAATTTCATTTCATATTTGGTTAGCATAGGCATGGTATATCAAACCACGAACTGTATCATAATATTTGGAAAACAATCCTGGTATATGTCTTTATTTGATTTTACTTGCATTTAATGTATTTGTGCATGTTGTGAATGAGATTCATTATTTTTCTTCTTCGGTTTGCTATATTTTTTTATTTATTTGCCATGAACTTCTTCATCTTCCCTTTGCTTACACTTTCTTTATATATTTTCCTGACCTGAGTCTCATGTTCTAAACCATTACATTTACTTTCTTCCAATTGCATCTGTCTAATACGTGTGTATGCAGGTCATCTCTTGTCTGGGCACCAAAGAAAAGGCAAAACGGTCACGTGGTCTACAAGCATAGATCCCGGTAAAATTGAGTGTGGGGCATGGAGTTATATACCCAACTGCTGACCTGGAGAGTGCTGCATCTTCTTTCCCAAAATGCATTTGCATGCATTCTGGCATTTAAAAGTTGACCTCTGTTTCTTGTTTGTATATTAGTAGTAATAATCACAATAATAATACTTATTATTATAAAACATTTTTCATATTTAAATTGTCCTGAAAATATTAACTATTTATAGTGAAAGTAATAAAGAACAAATAATATTTAGTGAATTGATTGAAAATATTACTTAGTGTAACAACATAGACAAAATTCAGTGTTTTATTTCCTACTGGTTCTGTTATGCAACAGATCTAGGTGTGACACACAGAGGCAAAACAGTCTGACATGAGAACTGGACAGTTGTGGGTCCCTGGACCAGTCATGTTTTGACCTTTTCCCACAATATAATGGTTTCTTGCCTTAAAATTAATGCTTACAAAAAATAATCACATGGTGATTACTTTTAATCCAGTCTTTAAGAAAGAAAAAACCCCAACAAAATATATAATTCCAGACACTATACGTTACCAAATGACAAACTATAGGCAAAACGTCAACCATCGCAAATCAAAACCACTACAGATCAAAATCTTATAGATTCTGAAGTCAAGGATTGTCTCTTTGTTTACTGTTCAAAACAGAAAACTGTTGGTGCCTAACAGATAATAAATATCAGTAGTGCAGTTTAATCAGCATACTTCAGTTCTGACTATTGCTGCTTAGGAAAATCATGACTTTGCACCAAAGAAATGATGCAGATATAAAATCAAATTAAAACCAATGGGTGATACACACTCAAAAAAAAAAAAAAAAAGATTTCAGAAAAGATTCTAACAACTTTTTTTCACCATAGTGAAATACGTAACTAAACTAGAAAGGTATAAAGCAAGCTGATAATTTCATCTGGGGAGGGCTTTTTTCCCTTTTTAATTTGCAATTTAAGCCTTTTCATGTTTCTTTGATAAGATTCTTTCTTCACTCATAGGTTTCACCAGCAGCAAGCATTTGCTGTACTTTGATACTTAGTAATGACACTGCTTTTCGGGGAGAACCTTCCTTTAATCTTCTGCCTGTTTCCTGCTCCTCTTTAGGATCTGTGAATGCACAGAAGCAGAAGCTGAAATTATTCTTCAGCTAAAGAGCGAGCTGAGGGAGAAAGAGCTAAAATTAACGGACATTCGTCTTGAAGCCCTCAGCTCTGCACACCATCTGGATCAGATTCGGGAAGCCATGAATCGCATGCAGGTCAGTGCAGTAGCTAAAGTGATGATAGGTGCACACCAAAGGTATGCCCTGTGCATTTCCTTTCCCAGTACTTTATTTCAGGTATCAAAAGAATGTCAATACAAAGTAAATTGCTAGATTGACAGCACTTCTAAAGGATGAGCATGATAAGAATTCACCTAATAATAATTATTATTATATTCTTAGCCTTTATGTTAATAGCTGAAGTGTATTTAAGAGGTATGGAAGGAGTCAAAATCCTTGCCAAAAGTGATTTCTACACTTGGGTAGTGTGCGGGGCAGGGGTATATGTGCATACTCTCTCATCATTTCTGATTCCAAACCCAGTCATGGCTTGCCAAAGAAAAGTATGTAAAATTGAACTAAATTATTGTATACAGCATCACTAAAATTTCACTACATTATTTTGTGAAACTGTTCCAAATCATTCCTGAACACATTTTTAACCAGAAGACTTTACCTTTCATGAGGGTGAAAGGATGCAGAAAAAATGGCCATGTTCTTCAGTGGAGCACGGAGCTATATGGAACTTAGCTCTGTTGCTCCCAACTTATCATGTTGGGTGCCCAAAAGTATCTACAACATCCACACAATATGACATAGGTCCTTCAATAGATCTGGGCCCTTCTGGAATGACAGGTGAGATAGCTAGGACCTGAAGACCCTATAAACCTGTGTTTGGGAAAGAGAATCAAGGCCATGGGGTGGGGATTCAGGTTGAGACTAGGACAGCTACATTTAGGTGTCTGTGATGAGCTAGGTGATAAACTCCTGTTGTAATCAATTGAGTTTTAGTCCTGCAACAGTGGGGCCTGGAAAGCTATCTTACAATGGATGAACAAGGAGCCCCTGGACAAACTCAAACACAAAAAGGAAGCCTGCAGAGCGTGGAAGCAAGGACAGGTAGCCTGGGAGAAATACAGAGAAATTGTCCAAGGGTTCAAGGATCAGGGTAGGAAAGCTAACGCCATGATAGAATTAAATCTGGCCAGGGGCATCAAGGGCAATAAGAAAAGCTTCTACAAGTATATCAGTGATAAAAGGAAGACTAGGGAAAATGTAGGCCCTCTCCAGAAGGAAATGAGAGACCTGGCTACCCAGGATATGGAAAAGGCCGAGGTACTCAACGACTTTTTTACCTCAGTCTTCACTGGCAAGTGTTCAAGCCACGTTGCCCAAGTTACAGAAGGCAAAGGCAGGGACTGGGAGAATGAAGAACTACCGACTGAAGGAGAATATCAGGTTCAAGACCATCTAAGGAACCTAAAGTCACACAAGTCCATGGGACCTGATGAGATGTATCTGTGGGTCCTGAGGGAACTGGTGGATGAAGCCACTGTACCTCATATTTGAGAAGTCGTGGCAGTCTGATAAAGTTCCCACTGGCTAGAAAAGGGGAAACATAACACCCATTTTAAAAAAGGAAAAAAGGAAGACCTGGGGACAGACCAGTCAGCCTCACCTCTGTGCCTGGCAAGATCATGGAGCAAATCCTCCTGGAAACTATGCTAAGTCACACGAGAAATAAGGAGGTGATAGGTGACAGCCAACATGGCTTCACTAAGGGCAAATCATGCCTCACAAATTTGGTTGCCTTCTACAACTGTGTTACAGGGTTGGTGGATAAGGGAAGACTGACTGATGTCATCTATCATCTACCTGGACTCATGCAAAACATTAGACACTGTCATGCACAACATCCTTGTCTCTAAATTGAGAGACATGGATTCGGCAGGTGGACCACTTGGTGGATAAGGAATTGGCTCGATGTCCAAGTGCAGAACAGTGATGAGTGGCGTTCCTCAGGGGTCAGTATTAGGACTGGTGCTGTTTAACATCTTTGTGAGCAACAAGGACAGTGGGATTGAGTGCACCCTCAGCAAGTTTTCTAACAACGACACCAAGCTGTGTGGTGCAGTTGACACACAGGAAGGAATGCCATCCAGATGGACCTTGACAGGCTTGAGAGGCAGGCCTGTGCAAACCTCATGAAGTTCAACAAGGCCAAGTGCAAGGTCCTGCACATGGGTCAGGGAAATTCCAAGCACAATTACAGGCTGGACAGAGAATGAATGAAGAGTAGCCGTCAGGAGGAGAACTTGGGGATGTTGGTTGATGGGAAGCTCAACATGACCCAGCAACATGCGCTCGCAGCCCAGAAGTCCAACCACCTCCTGGACTGAATCCAAAGAAGCATGACCAACACGTCGAGGGATGTGATTCTCCCCCCTCTACTCCACTCTCGTGAGACCCACGTGGAGCACTGTGTCCAGGTCTGGAGCCCCCAGCATAAGTAGGACATGGACCTGTTGGAGCAGGGTCCAGAGGAGGGCCATGAAAATGATCAGCAGGATGGAGCACCTCTCCTATGAAGACAGGCTGAGAGAGTTGGGATTGTTCAGCCTGGAGAAGGGAAGGCTCTGGGGAGACCTTATAGCAGCCTTCCAGTACCTAAAGGGGCCTACAAACTTTCTTGTAGGCCCATCTCCATGGACCGACTTTTTATAAGTGCATGTAGTGATAGGACAATGGGTAATGGCTTTAAACTGAGAGAGGATAGATTTAGATTAGAAATAAGCATGAAATTCTTCACTATGAGGGTGGTGAGGCACTGGAACAAGTTGTGGATACCCCATCCCTGGAAGTGTTCAAGGCCAGGTTAGATGGGACTGAGCAACCTGGTCTAGTGGAAGATGTCTCTGCTCATGGCAGGGGGGTTGGGACTAGGTGGTCTTTAAGGGCCCTTCCAACCTAAACCATTCTATGATTCTATGACTCAACAGCCTTCATAAAAGAATAGGACTTTTAGCAGAGTGTTAGTAAATGTGGAATTAAATTTGATGTGCAAAACCATCCACAAGAATAAGCAGTTGCTTTGTACTGTGAAGCAACTGAAAGCTAGATTTAGCTGGTACCAGCCTGTTCTCAGGCTAAGTTTTCATTTTATTATTGTACATTCAATAATCACTTGGCACCACAGAGGATTTAGCTAAAAAAAATTCCTAGTTGTTCTGGTTCATCTGTCATTCTATGTTTTCATCAAAGAGTGTTTGCTGCCCATTATGTGAACAATCCCATGTTTGAATGATCAAAATGTCTTATCTGATAGCAAGAAGGGTTACAAAACTGTTAGACTATCAATTTCTGATTGTCCATTTTTAATTTCATTTCCCCTCTGTTAAGTTACTGCTTAAATTTTACATTCAATGGCAGTAATAATCTTCTGTGACTTTAGAAACATTAACATGTCTAAGATATTAACAATAACTTTCTTAAATGACTGTTACCTAAGATATTTGACAATAAAAAGTAGCTTATAAAACTGGGGATAGCTGGTAAAATTCTCACCATACTTGTATTATGGTCAACTGTACAATTAACACAGAAGCTTGAAGTTCATGTTGTTTAGGATCTGCCTTGAAGAAAAAATTAAAACAACTTTATAGAATTTTTTTGCCTTCGTTTCAGAAGTGAAGGCAAACCAGTTTTCACTGACAGGGTTATACTTCTGATATATAGTGCTACATACTGCTGTGAAACTTGTAAACCAGTCAGCTCCTGCAGGCAGAGAGCAAACACCAGAATGCTCATCCCCGGTGGTTTTCCCAAGGAATAACCTCCTGTGCTTTTATGTTGATTTCTGTTGAATGCAGAATGAAATTGAGATACTGAAAGCTGAAAATGATCGTTTAAAGGCAGAGACTGGAAATACTGGAAAGCCTGCCCGGCCGTCGTCGGAGTCTTCAAGCAGCACATCATCTTCTTCATCACGGCAGTCACTAGGACTTTCTCTGAACAATTTAAACATCACAGAATCTGTTACATCAGGTAAACATATTTTAGGCATATGCATGTCTCAACAATTAGTAAGAATTTATTATTTTCACCCTCTTAATGGGTCATATATAAAAGGCATGCCTAAAAATTAAAACACCTCATATCACTCAGGTGAACACGAGATATACATTCACTAATGGAGATGAGGAAGAATGCTGGCAGTTGTTTCTGAAAATGTAGCTTTCAGATGGCTCTGAATAAGAGTAACAGTTGTTCATTATGTTTGCTCTAGTTCCTAGCTATGATACTAACTACCTAGCTGGTCATCTAACCACTCTTTGGGGATCTAGTTTACAATTTATTCGAAAAGGACAATATCTGTAGGAGTATACATGTCAACTGTATAGATATATTCTCTTGTCCCTATGGGACAAATATGAGCATAGTACATGAAACTTTCTTTTTTTGTTTACAGATCTTTTATTATTCAATTACCTCCCTTAATTTCATTTTGTATTTGCAGCTGGGGAAGAAGGAGGTCTCAGCTTTATCTCTTACATTTTTCAATGTAGTATAACTAGTTAGCCTGTTGGACCAAATCACCATTTATCACAGGAGCCAAACCCTGCCTGGCTTATTAAGCACTCTCATTGTCTTCTGTGAATGAGAGAAAGCAAGCAGAACTTTGGTCCACATCCAGAACATTAACATTCGATTATTTTCCATGCAATAGAGTTTATGATAATAAGCTTTCTACACTTGTTTTGATAACATAGCCAAGAAACAGCAGTGCTGTCTCTAACATTAGAACCAGGAGCAGAGCAGAAGCAAAGCAGCACTCATGAGTGTAGACTCCACAGAAAGTATAATGCAGTGTCTGGAAGCAATAAAAATGTGGCCAATAATTGTAGAGTCTAGGCGAGAGTACAGCTGGGAACATGCCAAATTCCCCGACTATAATTTGGATTGGCAGTTAGTCATATTATCTTGCCAGTCATTGATTAAACAGATATTTGAATATTTCTTCTGGTTAATATCAGATTTTACATAAAAAGTAGTGTGTTTTTTATTTACATTCTAGTCTATGTTTTTTGCCAGGTTTAATTTTTAGAATGGATGAGCCTGAGCTGGGCCTCAGTATACAATGAAGTGTTGCAAAAACACAGAGAAAAAGTTTAACTATAGTTGCTGCTCACACATCCACACACCAAAAAAAAGGAAAAATTATAACAGAATTTTTTTCAAAACAGTAATTCTAGAATCTCTTTCATGAGCAGCAGTTATTAGCGCTTTGTTGCTTGGGGCTAACTCTGTCTAGATACAGGAATAAACATAATATAAGCTTTATATAATTTTCTGTGTTATTGGTTCTGAATGTTTTTCTAGCATGCAAAGTAATTACTTTTGGTTATAAGAAATTAAAGAAATAAGGATGCCTAATGATGAGTGGAGGATTTAATTTGATTATGAATCCAGCCTTTTTGATCATTGTGAGTATCATTTTGTTGCCGTGCCAGAGAACCTGGAAGAGTGACAGCTTCCTAGCAAGTCTTGTGGGATTTCTGCAGCAGCTGGAGTACTATAGAAGAGAAGTCCCTCAGATATGGAGAAGTTAATCATACTGGGGACTAAGCTAGGAGAGATAATGAGGGCTTTGGCTCATCACGTTAAAAAATGCTGTGGAACTTTCTTGAAGACCAGTGTCTCCAAATGACTGTGGTCATCTGGAAATGACCAAAGCTATCTCTTGCCACTTCCTAAGTGTACAACCATGTCCCCCAGATGAGTGTGAGTGGCAGGCTGGGAAGGGGCTCGGCAGTCACAGACACCAGTATTTCAGTCAGTCATTACAGTAAAGAGCAGCAAACAAGGACCGGTACAAGACTCTGTCTGGACTGTCTGATGAAAAGAGTCCCAGAGTTCAGACAAGAAGGGAGGTGGAGCCACCATAGTGTACCTAAGGAGGAGGCCTGGCACGATCTGATTAAAACAATTAGTACCACCATGAAATCAGACTCTCTTGGGCATCTTCTCAGCCCCTTGTGATACTGAGAGGGAGAGCTCTTAGTAGAAAGTGGAATTTTTGTCTAGCCACAGAGTGGTGCCTCATTCCTAAAGACTTACAGAAAAATGTATTTAAAAGGCTACATGAGGGTCATTTAGAGATTGAAAAGTTTCACAGCGGGATCAGATATATTGTAATTTGCCCTCAGATGAACTCTGACATTATGGAAACTCTTAAGGTTTGTCAACTATGCTAAAATATGAGTGAAGTGAAACACTCAGTGCTGGTGGAACAGAAAAACTGTCTGCCTGGAACAAAACAACATTTGTTTAAGCTCACAATAAAAATGCTTCTTTATTTGATCAATTAAAAAAAACCCAACCACAACAGCAGAATCTGCTTTCTAGATCTGAATGTAAGCTGTCTAACATTTTACATGAGGGCTTATTTTTTAATATATTAATTGAAGTCATATTCATTGGTCTTTTTTGATTTTGTTTTGAGTAAGTGACTGGCTCCTCATTAAATTTGGGTGAAATCCAACCTTGTGCAACTATGACATGAAGTCAATGCTTTTCTTCAATCACCACAATAAGGAAGAGCAGGACTTAGGGTAGTGGATTACTGTGCTGGCCTTTGAAGAAAACGCAAATCCATAATCTCTCCTAATTTGATAGTTAGTTTAAACATCTAACAGTAAAATCTCTGAGAGAAATTCTCAAGGAAGATGGCAGTTTTATCCCTCAAAATAAAGATGCAGGCTCAGACTTCAGTAAGAAATACATCCTTCTGCTTTCTCATTTTAGGAGTTAGTGAGGAGGTAGAAACAGAGGCACAGAGTAGATCAGAATCACTCTTTACCTCCAAGCAAAATTGAAACCTTCCCTTAGAGGAGTGGCTGAATACGAACTCCCATATTCTGGAGGACCACAACGTGGTTTTCTCAATGTGGGATGCAATGTAAGCCTGTATTGTGGGGGTAAAAAAGACTATACATGCCATGTGTATAGAAGGTAAAGAAATCAGCTGGAAAGACAACTTAAAATGCTATTTTACTTAGCAGCAAACATATCACTGCAAGGATTTGCTGCTTTTCCCCCAACAGCATTCGAAAGGGCACTACAAGTGCCCAAAGATAAAAACTGAATTTAGGTTTTAAAAAACATTACTTTGGGGACGTATGGTAATTTCAAACAAGCTCCAAGAAAGAAAGCAAAGGCAAGTTTATAATGCAAGGGACCTTTTAAGGCCATCTAGTCCAATCCCCCTGCAGGGACATCTTCAACTAGATCAGGTTGCTCAGAGCCCCGTCCAACCTGTCCTGGAATGTTTCCAGGCATGGGGCATCTACCACTTCTCTCGGCAACCTGTGCCAGTGTTTCACCACCTTCATTGTGAAAAATTTCTTCCTTAGGCTAAATCTACCCTCTTTCATCTTAAAACCATTACCCCTTGTCCTATCACAACAGGCCCTGTTAAAAAGTCTGTCCCCATCTTTCTTAGAAGCCCCCTTGAAGTACTGGAAGGCTGCAGTAAGGTCTCCCTGGAGCCTTCTCTTCTCCAGGCTGAACAACCCCAACTGTCTCAGCCTGTCCTCATAGGAGAGGTGTTCCATCCCTCTGATCATTTTTGTGGCCCTCCTCTGGATCCACTCCAAGAAGTCCATGGTGGTTTCATAGTTCTGATTTCCCAAATAGTTTCTACATTATTAAAGCTCTTAATATTGCTTCAAAAACTGACAATTTTTATTTTTTTCATCTCCAACAGAAAAGGCAAATTAGGAAAAAGTACAGATTAAAATGATTACAAGTTCTTGTGATGGCAGCCTTTCTTTTTACATTAATAACCCTTAGAACAAATATTGAACTGAGGATGTGAACATAACTCATGTGATTTGCCAGGTTGATATCTTTCCTTTCTTTTATTGCAGATATTTTGTTGGATGATGTCACTGATGGAGGACTCCACAAAGAAGGTCATAGTGTGAAAATTTTAGTCACTATAAACAAGGGCTATAGTAGAGCCAAGGTAAGTTCATTACTGAAAGGTCTAGACACAGAATTATAGCTCTGGCAAATCTTTCAGTATAGTAGCTCAACTTGTTTCAGTATTTTCAGCCAGGAACTGAAGGGAAATACCCTAAATATTGCAGCTCTCTTCTGTGTCATCCATGCTCAACAGAGTTAGGCACTCTCCACGGACTAATGTCATATGGCCTCCTTCTGCCTTTGTGGTGGCTCAGATACTAACAATTCTCAGTTTAATTAGTAGTAAGATGTTCTGGGACTTGCTATCTCCATTTAAAAGTCATTATAAATTAGATCTATGCTTTGGACCCCTTAGGATGCAACTATGAATACGCTGCTGAGGTAATCAATTTGGAATTGCATGGTCATGTTTTCATGTTCTGTATTACAAAAAATACAATTATAAATACAATGCAACTTTTTTTTTATATTCAGCACTTTATAAATACAGATACAATCTAAGAGCAGAATAAGATACTGTATTTCCTTCCTTGTAAAGATGTAATACAATCTATACCTATTTCTAGCACAGAGTTTATTAACAAAGTTGTAACATCACTTTCTAAATAATATTATTTTTCTTCATTGGAAAACTATGAATCTTCGTAGAAAACTAACTACCACCATTTTTAGTCCAGTTTCCAAAAATCTCTCTTTGCAGGATCAAAAACCACATGCATATCTGATAGGATCAATTGGAGTCAGCGGAAAAACAAAATGGGATGTTTTAGATGGTGTAATCAGACGTCTCTTTAAGGTAAGACAGTGAAAAATTAGCTCAAGTATGAATTCAGTTTTCTTTTTCACTTTAGAAAAATTCTGTATTTTTGGGGTTGTCTTGCCAAGTTTTTGCTTCGTTTTGTTTTTTTGACATATAGCTAACACAAATATTAAATTTATTCTTAATGTTGCTGTTCTTTTTTCATGATTGTAGGCAGTTCTCTCTTTAATGTGACTGCAATATTTTCCAAAATGCTTTCATACAATAACCACTTTTATTTTTATGTCCTATGTTTTCATATAATTTCAGGAATATGTTTTGCGAGTGGATCCGACTACTAGCCTGGGTTTAAGCTCTGACTGCATTGCTAGCTATTGTATAGGGGATGTAATTAGAGCCCATAGCCTAGAAGTGCCTGAACTGCTGCCTTGTGGATATCTGGTTGGAGATAATAATGTCATCACTGTGAATCTGAAAGGTAAAACCCCAAGAATGTTTTTGCAAATACTGTAGGGTTCTTCACTGCATTCCCTCATCCCTCAATTTTTTTTTTCTTACACCTGCCCTTTGTGTATTTTTTCTTCAGTTCAAGGATTCATCACATAAACTCTCTGTATGACATTGCACAACACCTAATGCAGTGGGGCATTCTGAAACAATTCTAAGAACATCTCTGTCCTTCTCTGCCTGACTGCCAAATCACACCAAAGTACAGATTTCTGAATAGTGGCAAAACAAACAATCCCAGAACAGAGATTATGGTGAGAAATATTTACACCTTACCCAGTTCCGCAGGAAAAATTCGGCACATTTCTAAAGCTGTTGGATTTGCTATTGGAGAGAAGAGAGGCCTTCAGAAAAACTATATATACATTGATGTGACAACCAGTAACCCTTGTGGCTGTCACTTTGACCTTTTTTTGGTCATGGTCGCCTGTGGTGTCTGAAACATACATCTTGGCCTCACCGAGCCTTCTCTCCACATTTACTTTGATTCCATCTCTCCCACTCATGTCATCCCACTACCACTGTTAAATTTGTTGGCCCTGTGTAAGGATATAAGCATTTCCACAGTAATGAAGCCCTTGATAGGAGTTTGATTTAGGCAGAAGTATCTTACCTTGCTTTGAGCACGGCATTGATGCCATCAGGTGCTGGACCAAACCTACCTACCTTAGCAAGGATGAAGACAGGACATTTTTTCCTTTCTTTTGTTCCCAGGAGTGGAAGAAAACAGTTTGGACAGTTTTGTGTTTGACACATTAATTCCTAAGCCAATTACCCAGAGGTACTTTAATTTACTGATGGAGCATCGCAGAATTATTCTGTCGGGACCCAGTGGCACAGGAAAGACCTATTTAGCTAACAGGCTGGCTGAATATATTATAACTAAATCCGGCAGAAAAAAAACTGAGGATGCAATTGCAACTTTTAACGTAGATCACAAGTCAAGCAAGGTAAGTTACAAATGAAAAGATAAGCTGTT